AATCCCTTTTCTCATTAATAGTACGTCGGCCATTAACTCGGCCATTTATCATCGGCCCATGGGGCGATCTAAAGCGCATCTCTCGGACCTTGGTCTAGCGCCATATTTATAGTACGCGTATCTGTATCGATCGCGTATATTTCTTTACAGGTAACGGCATTTAATTTCATCGCGTGTCACTTAATCCTCCGTCTGGCGTACGGGTCCATTAGACCCGCACCTGTTTCAGAAACAATGTGGCAATCAATTACAAACATATACATATACATATACATATATATATATATATATATATATATATATATATATATTTAATGTAGAGAGAATAAAGTCTCAATTTTTCTAACACGTGTTTAAAATGTCATTTATGTTTATATAAAATATTAAACCTACGAAGGCTATATATATATATATATATAAATATATTATATGTATAAAGCTTTCGTAGGTTTAATATTTTATATAAACATAAACGACATTTTAAACACGTATTAGAAAAATTGAGATTTTATTCTCTCTACATTAAATATGTATTGAATAATGTATCGTACAATTTTTCAGATAAAATATAAATTATTTAGGTCGCAATTACTTTATATAATTTAGACACGATGTAAATAATTAAGTTAATTAATTTATATAATTTCGTATAATTTTATATAAAATATTATCTTATTAATATCAATTATTATATTAAAATAAACATATATGCGTGCACGCACAACATTGAGCTTTCGAGTGTATCGGATGTTCGTTTCGACACGACGCAAAAGATCGCGCATCAACGGCTTACATTATGCGTGGGTGTCTGATCTATTTGCCGAAATTCTCGCGAGAACCCTCGTGCGTCAGCTAAAATCGTATATATTCGCGACAAGTGCGGAATATTGATCTCGTGAATATTTTAAGGCGTCGAACGCGCGCATACACGCGCCACGGACGCGGAAACCGATGTCACTGGGATCTCCATAGATTATTCCGCAGCGTGGCAAATGCGAGCAGCGTCGCACGCACATGTACAATGTATACGTACGACGTGCATTTCACGTTAGACTCGCGGGATCGAAAGTCACCGCGCGCATTTAATCGCGGCGCGATAAAAGTATTCGATTTATTTACTTAGAAAAATATAGCAAATTTTATTTTGTCGTTTAAATCGATATTCATCGATTGGAATGATTGGCTTATAGTTCGTAAAAGTATATCGCGAATATGATCATTGAAAATTTCTCGAGAAACTTATCTTCGAAAAGAACATGTATAGTTGCTTTGTTGACAGTTTAGAAATTTTTTGTTATTTTGTTATATGTATATATATATATATATATATATATATATATAATGCAAACCCTTATATTCATTTTTATAAAATAGAATGGGCTTTAATCGCGGCGCGATAGAAGTATTCAATTTATTTACTTAGAAAAATATAGCAAATTTTTTTTGTCGTTAAATCGCGATATTCATCGATTGAAATGATTGGTTTATAGTTCGTAAAAGTATATCGCGAATATGATCATTGAAAATTTCTCGAGAAACTTATCTTCGAAAAGAACATGTATAGTTGCTTTGTTGACAGTTTAGAAATTTTTTGTTATTTTGTTATATGTATATATATAATGCAAACCCTTATATATTCATTTTTATAAAATAGAATGGGTTTATTGTTTAATATAGATTTACAGTGAATATTTAAAAGAGTATATTCTGAATGATATATCATGTGTTTAATTACAATATGATAATTAAAAAGGGATGTTCTTATGAAACCTCTCTTCAAAGAGGACCTTGTGTAATTATTTTGTTGATAGTTTATAAAATAGAAAATTTTTTGTTATCGTGTATATACAATGCAAATCACGCACGCACATGTACAATGTATACGTACGACGTGCATTTCACGTTAGACTCGCGGGATCGAAAGTCACCGTTCGCATTTAATCGCGGCGCGATAAAGGTATTCGATTTATCTACTTAGAAAAATATAGCCAATTTTTTTTGTCGTTAAATCGCGATATTCATCGATTGGAATGATTGGCTTATAGTTCGTAAAAGTATATCGCGAATATGATCGTTGAAAATTTCTTGAGAGACTTGTCTTCGAAAAGAACATGTATAGTTGCTTTGTTGACAGTTTAGAAATTTTTTGTTATTGTGTATATGTATATATACAATGCAAACCCTTATATATTCATTTTTATAAAATAGAATGGGTTTATTGTTTAATATACATTTACAGTGAATATTTAAAAGAGTATATTCTGAATGATATATCATGTGTTTAATTACAATATGATAATTAAAAAGGGATGTTCTTATGAAACCTCTCTTCAAAGAGGACCTTGTGTAATTATTTTGTTGATAGTTTATAAAATAGAAAATTTTTTGTTATCGTGTATATACAATGCAAATCACGCACGCACATGTACAATGTATACGTACGACGTGCATTTCACGTTAGACTCGCGGGATCGAAAGTCACCGTTCGCATTTAATCGCGGCGCGATAAAGGTATTCGATTTATCTACTTAGAAAAATATAGCCAATTTTTTTTGTCGTTAAATCGCGATATTCATCGATTGGAATGATTGGCTTATAGTTCGTAAAAGTATATCGCGAATATGATCGTTGAAAATTTCTTGAGAGACTTGTCTTCGAAAAGAACATGTATAGTTGCTTTGTTGACAGTTTAGAAATTTTTTGTTATTGTGTATATGTATATATACAATGCAAACCCTTATATATTCATTTTTATAAAATAGAATGGGTTTATTGTTTAATATACATTTACAATGAATATTTAAAAGAGTATATTCTGAATAATATATCATGTGTTTAATAACGATATGATAATTAAAAAGGGATGTTTTTATGAAACCTCTCTTCAAAGAGGACCTTGTGTAATTATTTTGTTGATAGTTTATAAAATAGAAAATTTTTTGTTATCGTGTATATACAATGCAAATCATCATATATATTTGTTTTTGCAGAATATACTGAGAAAAAAACTGTAAACTTGACCAAATATTTTCAATTAATTATTATTTTTTTAATTAAAATATTTAAATATTTAAATTTAAAAAAAAGTAATTAAATTAAATTAAATACGACACATTTTAAATCTAACACTCTCCCTTAAATAACATGACAGTTATTTAACTTAAATATTTTAATTTATTTATTTAACTTAAATATTTTAATTTAAAAAAATAATATAATTAGTTGAAAATATTTAATCAAGTTTACAATTTTTTCTCTCAATGTAGAATGAATTCATTTTTTACACATTATAATATATATATTCCGAAGTATATATTCTGAATAATATATATATATATATATATATATATATATATAATGTGTGTGTGTTTCATAACAATATCGTTAAAAAGTATGCATGCATGCGTTCCTTTTACACGTTTAAGGGAAACGATCATGAATTTGACGTTTGACACATGATATGCGACAATCTACGCGCGCTAAATTCAATGATACGAAAACAAATAAACGTTCTCTCCTCCGATCAATCTTATTTAGATTTAATCTTCCAACGATGCATTTTTTCGCGTCCAAAAGTAACCGACTTCCCTTATCCTCGCGCTCGATTTTCCGTTATCATAAATCTCGCCATTTAAACGAGACGCTGATTAATCGAGCGATTAATTTCGTCCGATCGTGATCGTTTCTCAAAACGTAAGGCATGTTGTTACCTCGTTATCGTGCATCCGGCGGATTCCACGGCATCCCCGATACCATCGATCGCCGATCGTCGCATCCTCCGCGCTGATTCCGGAGCGAAATCCGTATCGAGCGCACTGGAGTATCCGGCCATCGTAGCTCCGATTTCCATGGAGGAGAGCACTATACCGACATATCCCTTCGGTGAAGGAATTTCGCCGAACGGAGCAAGACGGAGAACCACTGACGTGTACGTGTATATATATTTATATATATATATATATATATGTATAATATCCCGCGCACACAAACAAAAACACCACCCCTTTCGCGACCGAGGAGACGCGAATGATCCGCGCGGGTCAACTGTCACACGTGTTACACACAGCACACTCGCGGCGGGGGCGGGGGCGGGGGGGAGGGGGGATAGGAGGAAGAGTCACGCACCCTCGGTCGTTTCTCCTTCGACTCCGAAGACGTGTCTCCGATCCATCCGCGACGTCCGATGTGCGCCAGCCGCGCGCGCCCCGCGTCGGCCCCTTTGCCTCCTCGCACTTTCTCACAACTTCAGCGACATCGGCGAACGCACCACTTACAGCGTGTCCGCTCGACGCACGAGGGCGGGATGGTATCGTCAGGACGAGATCGAAGCACCCACGGCCGCGAGTCCTCTCGACGGCGCGCGTCGCTCACCCCGCGGCATCACGACCGCGACGCGACATGTACATCTGGCCGCGGTCCTCTCGTCGGGGGTTGCTTCTCTCGGGGATCGTAATCAGACGAGCGACGTCCCTTCCGCGGATTAGACTCTTCCGGAGCCTGGAACGAACCTGAATTCGAACCTCCGGATTCGGAAAAGAGGGAAAGAAAAAGAAAGAGAGAGAGAGAGAGAGAGAGAGGAGAGAGAACGCGCGCTGCTCGTCGACGTCGCCGACGTTTTCCTCGAGGGCGAGGATGGCTAACGAGGGGTGAAACGAGACGGGAATCGCGTCGCGCTCTTCGCATCCGACCCGCACGGCAGACAGCACGATACTACCGACGGTCCGTACGCTCCGCGTAATTCCATCCCCACCCCGCGCCGCGCGCCAGGCTCCCTCCACCACCGGCGCCGTTGCTACACGCGTCCCTTACCCCCTCCACGGTAATGGGCACGCACCGAGAGCTATCCGGAGCGTGACACACGCTTACGCGCCTCTGGAGGGGGTTACGGTCGCGTGGCGGCGGCCGGCCGGGTGGGGATGCGGAGCGGAGTAAAGTTGGCGGCGATAGCGGCGCCGCCGAGCGGCACATGCGCGCGCCGCGCGCGACCGTACATCGCCATTGCCGCTCGTCGCCGTTGTTGCCGCTCGTCGTTTCGTAGCGTAGCGTCGAGTCCTCGTGAAAATCTACGGTAAGTGCATGCGTATGTACCTACGCGTACAAACGAAGGCCGCGAGAAAGAGGCAGGGAGAGGGAGAGAGAGTGCAGGGACCTCTCTTCTGCGACGCGCTGGAGATGCCGAGGCTAAACGCGGCTACGTGACTTCTGTCCGGCCCGAGGCGGGAGAGAATGCATTAGAGGAGAGGGGGAGGGGGCGAATTACACGGCGCGCATCGGAAAAGAATCCGCGCGACTTTCTCGGAGTTTTACCGCGAGATAGATTATGAGTTATCGTACGGTATAAAGTGTAATAATAATAATAGCGTGGAATAGCGTCCCGATACATGCCCGAGAGTACACGTATACACAGGGTGTTTCTTAATAAGAGTGAAAAATTTTAGGAGATGATTCTTCGTCGAAAATTAAGGGGGATTTTTCGTGCAAACATGAAAAAGTTGTAATAAAAGATTGATTAGGAGTTGCTAGTTTCAGCCCCTTATAACAATACGGGACGGCTGAAAAATATATTAATAAATAACCTTTTTACTTTTAGTAGAAAATATTCTAATATTTCATTTCCTTAACTTATTTGAAATTTGGAAAAAAAATAAAGGCCTAATTTTTACCCCTATTTTTGGATTTTTTCGTAGTTATTAAGAAACACCCTGTATATGCTATATATCGGGCGTTGTTTGCAGTTTCCTGCACTCTTCTCTATTTGAAGAATTTCAACGCGATAAAATATCTATCAGATTTTATATTTTCCAACAACGGTGTTTTAATATAAGCGAATGTTTGGGGCTAAAAGACGACGTATTATTTTTTGATAGCTGAATCAATGGCTCGAAACAATATTTATCAATCAAACACGCGTTTCTCTTGTTTAAATAAAGCCCCAGTAATTATAAATTAGACACCTATAGTATTCAGCTGCGTTCATTGATGTTATTGCATTGTTGTGCAATTATTTGGAACGTTATGATATTAAACTCGACGCGTTTAAATATTTAACATTCGTGGCATTTGACTTGAATGGAATTTCAATCTCGCTCCGCGCTCAAATACATCGTATTATATAATAAATACGGGTCGAGTCGCGCGAGAGCGATTTTCGAGAACGCGTCCAAGAAAAGACAGGACGAGGGATGCATCTATTTATGGAGCGTCCGCTCATTTATCGCGCAGGAAATGCACGCGCATACTTGTATATGCGCCAGAGAGATTGGTCGAAGCTGCAAAGAAGTGCGAGCAGAAGAGAGGCAAGCTTATACAATGCTTTCTCGACAATGCGACCCGCGTAAACGCTTCTTAATCTCAATCTCTTCAGAGAAATATCGACACACATGTGTATACTTTTACAGTGTGTCTATTCTCTGCAAAAACATGATTTCTTTTGCACCTGGAAGTCGGAAAATTCTCATGGAATTTTATTGAGACTCGAAAAAAAATTTTTTTAAATTTTTCTCTTGTCATTTTGCTTTTATATTCTAGGTAAACTATTGATAAAAGCCACAAGTTGTATTTAAAATATATTATCAATATATATTTATATATATTGAATGTCTTAATAAAATTTTGAATAAGCAGTAAATATTTTCTATTAATTTGTACTGATAAAGAAATGAAAATGTGTTATGTGCGAGTGAAAAATGTTTATCTTACCAAAGTTACTAATTTATTAATTTTTTTTCAACACAAAATTTGCAAATTTAATACTTAAATGACTCTGTGTTTTTCCTTTGCATGAATGAAAAATATTAGAAAAAACGCACACAATAAACAAAGTTATTTTAGAAAGTTGAAAAAAATCTTTTCAATATTTTTCCTTTACCTAAAATTTTGAATAAAAATAGTTTTGAAAAATCAGAGAATTTAAGGAAATCTTTACAAGATTTAAATAGACGCTCCATTTAATATCTAAATTTCCTTTACATATAATTAATTTTACACACAATTAGCTACATATGCGTGCATCATTTTTTTAAAAAATTTAAAAAGATTCTTTTTTTCTGTTTTATTTAATAATTATATATATTTATAATTATTTAATAATTATTTATATTATATATTTCGAATAAATGTATAATATTGTATAAGACAAAATAATTTTTTCCGACTTTAATAAATTCGTCTCTAAAGAGATTAAACGTCTTGTGAAATCATCGTAACGTGTAGAAAGCAAAACAAATTTTTGTTCAGCATTTTTTTTCGAAAAAAAAAGAGGTACAAAAATTATTATATATCGCGGTTCAATTTCTACGCGTTTAACGCACAGTTGACACGCATGTCAGGGGAAAAAATATAACTACATTTTTCACGTGATACGTGAAATACTCTTTTGTATTCAATATATTTCTTTGCAATATAACGAAATGCATTGTCGATCCTTTTTGTTCGTTGCCGAAAATGACAGAAGCGTTACACGCAAATCCGCCATCAGTTTTAACGTTTCACGAATGCTAAACGAAATGGTACATTAACATTTGCGTTAAGAACGAACGTTATTAAGCCAATTCAATCGCGAGGATAATTCGGAATAAATCTTTCAGACGTTTAATAAAGAATTTGGAGCACGAAGCAATATATAGAGTGAGAAGAGGTGGCGTGTCTTACTCGACGCCGCCGACAATGATAACGGAACACGACAGCCCCGGCTATTACGTGCCTCCTCGAGAAAATATCGCATCGCGATCCCGAAAGCCTCCCATTGAAATTTTAATTTTGTATATCATGCTAACGACGCGCGTGTGGGTGGATTCACACGTATACGTCCCACATACACGGAATACTTTCTCGTTCTGCGAAAAGTATACATATGTATGTATCTACTCTTTAAATTATTCATTAAGATATATCCTTCGCGCGATTGATCAAGATTTTATCGCGTCGATGATACATCGAGATAAGCGCGGTGCTCATCGAACGAAAATGCCGATCGGTCGATGAGATTCATTAATTTTATTTTTTTCACGCGAAAATATGAATTAAAGATACCTCACAGATACCAGAATAAAAACAAATGAAAATTTCAACCTTTCTGTCTCAAGTCGCGAGCCGCAAATCGCGAGTTTATTCAAAAGTGCCATCGCGTCTGACGCAGTAGACTAATAATTAATTTACTCGACTGAATAAATTACTACGCTGATTATCACTTCTGACGTCGGCGGGCGACGACGCGGATCAGGAGCGAGGTTGGAGAAAGAATTATGAAAGGAAACGCGCGGTCTACGGCACGCTTCTCTCTGTCTTTCTCTCTCTCTCTCTCTTCTCTTTTTTTTTTTTTTTTTTTTTTTTTTTCTCTCTCTCTCTCTCTCGTTCGCTCGTTCCTCTCCATCCTCGAACTTTGGGGGCTTGGAGAATTTGGGATATGGGCTGCGTAGTCTTGCGCGCGAGAGGCATCTCATTCGACACCACAGACGGTAATAACGAGAGCGCCCGGCGGCGCGAGGCTACGTGCTTCCTCCAGAGAATATTAATCCGTAATGCTGGAGCTCGGTCTGAATCTTCCAGCTCCTCCTATATCAGATACGAGGAGGAAAGCAAGAGAGAGAGAGAGAGAGAGAGAGAGAGAGAGAGAGAGAGAGAGGCTTTTTCCTTAGGAAACCGAAACTTTTACGGGTGACGCAAATCTCACGGGCTGTTTCTAAAAACAACTCCGCGTCGGCCATTCGTCCGCCTCGTTTATACGACTTTGAATTTTTTTTTTTAAACAATTGTTAGGGTTGCACGAGACACCAAGATTAGTCTTGATATTGTCTTGTCTTGTCTTGAATTTCAAGACAAGATCAAGACAAGATTTTTAATTAGTTATCAAGACAATACCAAGACTAAGACTGTTAAGATTGTTAGTCTTGTCAAGATTATTGGTTCTCAAAGAAACTAAAATACTTATATTTGTAAATGAAAAAAAATCACTATATACCAATTTAAAAAAATGTTATTCAATAAAAACATTTATATTGATAAATTTAAAAACATTTAATATTAATACAATATAACATTTTTATAAATTAGAAATCAAACTCGCAAATTTTAGACATTAAAGAATATTTCACCCAGGAATTGATGCACCTTACTTTTAAAGATTTACTTTGTAATCTGGTTTTATTTTTTGACATAGAGTTTCTATTGAGAAAAGTCTTTCTACTGGCACGGATGAGGCAGTTGAACTTAAAATGTATCGAGCCATTTTTGACAATATGGGACAAATATGAATCTGATTTTTTTATCACTCCAAAATATTTATATCTGCACATTCCCTTGGAGCCTGTAAATAATTATTAATTTCTGTTTTCCATGAAACAGTAAATGTTTTTTTGTAAATAGACGGCATTTATATCGATTACATAGTAATAATTAAAACATAATACAATAGTAATAATTAATTCAAATTATATTACAAAAATTATGTTAAATATTATTTAAATAATTTCTTAATATTAGATAAAAAATTGTTAATACAATCGAGACAAGACAATACAAGACGAGATTTTTGCTACCAATATTCACTCAAGACCAAGACAAGATTTAAATTTTTGAAAATTTTCAACACGAATACAATATTTTTACGAATATTGTCTTGTCTTGGGTCTTGTGTGCAACCCTAACAATCGTTAATGTTATATAATAGTTATATTCGTTATATAATCGTTATATAATATTGTTATATTCCCTTGGTCGGAATGCGAAGATAAATTCGTAGACGTGAGAGTAAACGAAAAAAGAGAGAAAGAGAGGGGGAATGTTATCCCGTAAACTGTATGACACATTTGACTGTCCTGACCGAACTCCCTTTGTTTGCTCGTTCGTTCGTTCAGATTATACGGATGCGCATTCATGTACGGAGCAGGTGCAGGACCGAAGAGAAGAGCGAACGACCGAACGGATCCGGTTCGGGATAAACGCTACGCGAATCCCCCTTTCTCGTTGGCCTGTTCGTATAATATGGAACTAGCTTAAGTCAGTCGTCGGAGTAGCAAAATTAAAAATAGCTCCCCTTACTTTTGATTTACTTTAAAGAGAAATTATTCC